ATACATCTTCGAAAGGATCTGTATGACTTTTAGCTCAAATTTTGGTTATGTTTTCGTTAAATTTGTACCTTGAGTCTACTTTGCATGGGTTTTGAATGAAAAAACTACACAAAATTTAAAACTTAATGCTCGACTTATCGTTTCTAAATATTTAGGTGCTTAAAAATAAATAATAAGAGGTCTGTTTCTGCAGAAATCAAAAACCAGTCAGCGTGAATTTCATTGGTTAAAACTAGTTTTATGACTGTTTCTGACTGTTTTCAACCAATGAAATTCCCTCTGACTGGTTTTGTGATTGCTGCAGAAACAGACTTAATATGTATCTATTTTGAGACACTTCGAGAAGGTATAAAGATCAAAAATCTAATAACCTAAAATAAAGATATTTATTTATTTTAGGTTGATTGAACAAGATCAAATCTATTATAGGACACTTTCTAGGTGTAAGAAAGAGTGCAAGCGATTTATAATGCTTGGAACAAAGACAAAACTCGTTTTGGTGTTGCCAATTATTTTTCCCGAATTAGAATAATTGGCAACACCAAACCAAGAAGCTGGCTGTAGCCATCTTTGTTTTGTGCATTTAAAATCCCTCTACTCTCTCAAACAAATAAAATAATTAAAAACTCAAATAATTTTCATTAATGAATTCACAAAAATATTAATCAATGTTATCTAAAACATTCACTTGTGTATTCTGCGCCAGAATCTCGTAAATTTTCTAGTGACTGCATGGATTGCGATGGGATTGCATGGATTGTGGTGGGATTGCGGCGGCATTGCAAGGATTGCAGCCAAGGGGTTATGGATTGTGGTGCGATTGCGATAGGATTTCTGGGATTGAAGGCGATTTTGTGACAAGATTGTGGAGAGTGGTTACCTCCTTGGTAAGCTTTTAATATAAGTACCTAAGTATGGGCAATTCTTCCTTTTTCTGGGAACATTGTTGATATAATTAATAATAACTTGTGTCCTATAATTTTAAAACCCATAAGACACATACAGATACATATGTATCTAGGTGTCCTTTTCTTTTTCTACACAAATTATATTATATTAAAAACGATAATGATGTAATAGATAATAATTATGGCCTTTTTCCTCTCCTGCTATTGTAGGCATGTAGGTAATTTGTAATATTGTAATCTGGTTTGTAATTAATTATTGTTAATTTGCTGTTGAAAATAAATTGAAATTGAATTGAAATTGAATTGGTCGTGTTTAAAGTGCACTGGCTGTGAGTATTTGCACCTTTTATTTTTCTATCAGTATGTAGCATGAGATGGAAATACATTGTTCTTACTTTGGCTTGGTTGTACAAAACGAAACAGCCATAAATTCAGTTCTCAGTTCAAATGGAGTTAAGCCATTGATCAACCATTCTTTTTTTCTATTGCCTATATAAAAGTATGACTTGGGCCAAGGTTGTTTGAAAGAGGTAGGTTGCCTGAAAACTTTTATGACATCATCTGGGGTGCCTACACATAAACATAATGCAAATCTCCGTTAGGCACCCCAGATGAGATGATGTCATCTGTTTCCCATTACCAGACAACCTGGACTTAGGCTATGGTTCGAAAATAACCATGGTTATGCCGTTCAAAAGTAATCAAATTACTCGGGTTCCTGGAAAACTGGTTACTTTTGGACCTCGGTTTCCTGTAATCTGGTTAAGCAAATGTCAAAATAGTTACCGACCATCATTATGTTGGTTTAATTGGTTTTATCCGAGGGGTCAACCACTCTGTGAAAATGTGTACACGTATTGCGAAAATGTCGGTATTTCGCAAGTATTTCGCGAAATTCAAAGTATTTCGGTGGTGGTAATTCGAACCTAGTTTTCTGTGGTATTGCCGAGTACTTCGAAATATTTGCAGGTAATTTGGAGTATTTCGAGGAAATTCGAAGTATTTCGATGTATTTCGCGGTAAGTCGAGGTATTTCGAGCTATCTGACGGAGAACTATTTTTCAATTTCAAATATGCTTTATTGTCAGAAAATTATAGTACATTCTATTGACAAAGCAACATCCTTAATAATATAAAATATAAGAACAGATAACAAGTAAAAAAGACACTACAGCAGTGGCACTAGCAAGTGGTAAAATGACTAACAATAAAAGAAAAATTCAGTACTTATTAGTAAATTTGTAACATTTTTAAAATTTAGAACACATCAGTTATTATGGCATTGTGAATCTATTACTAAATCAGGTAGACCCTGTCCTACAAGTAGTATAAAACATAAAACATAAAGTTGAGTTTTAGACACTTACATCACGATACAGACACAAGATCCTGTTAAAGGTTGTCATCAAAATACTCGTCAAGAGAATAAAATGTTTTATCTGCCAATAAACTTTTAACCTTATTTCTAAAAGATTTATAATTTTGATCCGTTCTTAAATTTAATGGTAGTTTATTGTACATTTGTATACTTTTATAAATCAGAGAATCCTGAGTTAGAGAGAACCTTGGTATAGGCAAAGGTATCAGGTTGTAGTTCCTTGTTGGATAGGAGTGCGCATGTGTAGTACCCTGGTACCTCTTGTGAACTAAACAGACAGTCTCTAATAATTCTCGGCAGTGATCTCTGAGACCTGCTCCAAAAATATACCTAACAGAACGTTTCTGAAGAGTAAACACTGATTGAAACAAACACTTACTGCAGTTCCCCCAAAAAGCAATTCCATAGCGCAAGTGGGACTCAACAAGAGCAAAATAAGTGGCCTTAGCCATAGACTGACCCAATTCATAGCACGTTTGGCGTACAGCATAGCCTCCCGCTGCAACTATTGTACGGAGAACAATTAATTCTCTATCACTCAAAATTGAAATATTATAGAATGAAAATTGTAGTCCATCTTCGAAAAGGCTAAATCAAGGGCAAAATATGTTGACATAATTTGGATTTACTGCAGATTAATTGAAACAAATGGAAAGATATACTACCTGATATGTATAAGTACCTAATCAATGTCAGTTAGTTAATAGTACAAGGTCATCCAACAAGGACTGAACAGGGGTTGACAGGGGATTTTTTTTACTTTCCCTGTATTTTTGAGAAAATTGAAAATAGCCGAGAAAATAGCCAATTGGAACATTTTTTTCTGGAGAACTCAAAAATGGTAACAAAAAATCATTTGAACCAAAGAGTTACACCATGGATGAGCTGTTTTTTAAATGGAACAGCCTGTTTTTTGAAGAAGTCGCACTTTTTTACATGCATTCTGTTGAAAATATCTGATATTCCGATAGCTGTTTTTATTTTATTTTAATGTTTATTCTTATTCCTGCAACTATTGATTTATTTGTTGTTTGTGTGTCGGAATAAATTCCATCATATCAAAAGACACAAAAATCCGAGCAAAAATTCGTCACTGGGATCCACTATCCACAAAGAATCATTATGAACGAGATTTTTTTTAGAAGTATTGCGGGACTTCGCGCGGAATACCTGGTACTGCACCGTATTTCTAGGTATTTCGAAGTGTTTCGGAGGTAATTCGGGCCAAATGTACACGTATTTCGGGAAGTGGTTGACCCCTCGGTTTTATCTGTTGTTTCTATCAATTATTTTATTTTTCATACAGAAAAAAATTATAGAGGTTATTTTTTAAACAGCGACCGAAGCTCGCTTTCCCTGAGTAGGTAACCGAAATTTTCAGTAACCCCTTGTCAACCAATTCGGTTACTTTGGTTAACGTTTCGTTATATTCGGACCATAGCATACAGGGTGCGTCAAAAAAAAATTTGCAAAGCCATGTTATTGAGCATATTATATGTTTTTTGAATAAAACGCCATGTATATTGTGCACCCTCGTGTGCACCTATTGGTTAGTCCCTTTCTGATCTGAACATGATTTTAACAATATACGGTTTCAAATTTTTATCTTCTCGTTTATCTTCAATAGTTAAAGGGAAAAACGCGAAAACCGCTTCCATATAAAGTGTGCTAAAGAAGAAAAAAAAACATTCAAGCTAGGGGTGACATTTTTAATAGTACCTCTTCACGATTTGGTTTTTCGTGTGTTGGTGTTTGGCTCGGAGGTGTTTGGTAAGAATAATTATTTAATTGAAAAATATTTCATCTATTGGAGCATCTACCTGTCTATATAGAGGCCTATACTCTTTTATTCAGGATTTCATTTTAGGATAAAGCAAAACAAAATAAGAGGCCATGAAAGTCCCCAATTTTTTGACTATTGAAGGGGCCATTTTGTTTATGGGTCTGGTCAAATCATTCAAACAAGAGAAACCGAGAGAAACTTCATGCTACTTGAAAACTCATTTCAATAATCAACTACCGACTACCCAATAATTACAACTTGGTTAAATATTTGAACCATACTTAGGTACCAGAATTAATGTACAAAGGAGCATTTCTGGTATAGGTATTTTAATCATTGAGTAGAGGAGAGGGAGTTTCAAATGTTTCTTTCTACAGCTTAACTTTAGGCAAATTATTGTTAATCCAGGAATTCTTTCAAATATTTTGTAAGATTCAAGATTTATAATAAGTAATGAGCATATATTTAAGTACATTATTTTTGTTAAACTTTCGATTGAGAGAGCATTTGAAGAGGGATTCAAGATCTCTCAGAAAACGCAGGTAGTTTATAGAACCCAAGCCTATCTTTGAACTCCCAAGAATAGCTTACCTTGCTTTTCGGTTTTTGGACATTTCTTCTGAATTTAGCGAATTTTGTAATGTAGTGAAATCTCAAAAAAGAAATAACAAACACAACCGTCGGATTGAGACAAGCTTGTTTCAAACATCAAATATTTCACCCATTTCATGAAACTTTTTGGGCAATTCTTTTTTTTCTATTGCTTTTTCATGGAAAACATATGTGGAAAACTGCTTACTTGAAAAAAAAGTCTAATTTGAACTTTATATAACCTCCAATACAAGTATAATGCAACGTTAACAATAAATAAAACTATTGTGTAATATATTTGCAGCATAAACAAATTGATTTTTAAGTAAGTGACACTCACCTATGATTTTGGGGTTGTCTTTGAGGGTAGGACATGTTATTAGTCTGTATAGGCCCATGATCTAATCTCATGGAGCGTACTTCCATAGCATACACATTGACACAAAATTTGTAACCCGATAATTCACATCACACTGCTTCAAAAAATTTAATAATTTCACACAAAAATAATCACAACTTTCAAGTTTTTCAGCTTTCCAAGTCCAGTGAGGCGTTTTTTTTTTTTGTGTGTGTTCCACCAGATGGACGTGTCCTGGATCACTCCAGTGTTCTTAGCATAGTAGCCTGGGTTCTAAACAGCCTTCTACAATAAAATTTTCAATTATTTATCGAAAATTTCAGCTTTTAAAATATGTTTTGCCTAAACCAAAACGTGGTTGATTATATACCGTTATTCGCGTAAATAATGGCGATAATGCATCGGGCACAATTCTATCGAATTTGTCACAAAAAAATCTATCGGAAAATGTTATTTTCGTGACACTGTAAACACGGAGTTAAATTTAAACACGGAAAATACAAATACTACATCGCGAAAAGCGCCATTTCGTCGACATCTTGGTGGAACTTCTACGTGAAACAGGTCCGGATCGATCTATCTTTGCGTTGAAACGAGGGGTGGTCGCTTGAATGTTAGAAAGAGACGGAGCTAGTGAGCGTGCGTCTAGCTACGCCCTGCGCCATGTCGTTTCGAATCGAACGTGGTTCGGTATTTTTTGGGGATATTTTCTTATAATAAATAAAAACACATGATAACTTTATCAATAATGATCACTGTTTTATTTCTGGTAAATAACCTATTGAAAAAAAAACTTTTCGATGAGAAAGGGCCGTGAAAAGATAAAAACAATACTAGGTTAAAATTAGTGAACGTATGTCTTTGAGTGTTTGTTGTGTAGCAACGATAGGTTCTTCTTTGGCCTTCGATTGCAATGCGACTGACAGAGATGGATAGATAGGCGACTGTTATTTAAAAAGAGTTACACTAGGCGGGAACTGGGAGTATTTTTAAACTTTCCATTTTTTTTTGGTTTTATACTTTTTTTTTGGAACAGGAGAACTTTTTAAATTTGAAATTACCTTGTATAAAATGTGTTAAAAAAAAAGCTTCATCCTAGGTTTACCTTTTTGATTTCACGCTGAATTTTATGTTAGGTAGTTATTTATCTACATAATTTGTGATTGAATTCAATTTACAATAAATTATTTTTGAGTTGTGTGATTTTTGAATTTTCCTTGAAATTTTATTGTGCTAGTGACAGTGACGGAAGTAATGGTGCAGTGATTGAGTTGGCAACGCTGGATGGATTTGAGTAATACACAGTGGTTAATGGTGTAATTGAAGTGAGGCGAAAAATAATGTTTAACATGTTTACAAACATTTTACGAAAAATGTTAGCTTAATGTTTCGTCATATTTGTCATCATTAGAAAGCTTATATGAAATATAGATAAAGAAAACTTAATGGCAGTAAAAGTACACCTAACAAACTAGGTACTTGGTACTTACCTACTCGTAGGTAGGTACCAAGAACACTCCGCCAAACAGGATTGCTCATCTATCCTAATAAGGCGTACGTTCGCCAGTTCTGGCGTCGGCAGCTGGTCTGCGAGTGACGTCAACACTATCAGCAGCTTATTGTAGTGACGTCACCCGCAGGCCTCTACGGAATGCTCTCGATTCAAGCTGTGTTTGTGAGTTAATTTTTTCGTCAATTTCAAATGAAGAAAATGTGACGTGTGTTAACGTTTAGGAATTCGTTTTTTTGACCTAGAGTGTTTTAAACTAGGATAATGCATTTTCCGCCAAGAGTTGAGGTTTGCGAGTTTTGCGACTAATGGCACAAGTAGTGCAATCAGATTAGGAGCGTTTACATTTCGGTTTACATGATAATTCACTTAATTTGGATGATCATTCTGGGTAAATAATTCAAAGTGTAAATGAATCGTGTAAACTAGTATTCATCGAAAATGATCATCCAGAGTGAATCTTTATTAAAGTCTACTTTCGTTCACTTTTGGTGATTTATCGCGGATGGATCATTAAAAGTGAACCATGTAAAAATCCACCTCCAAGTCAGTGGCGACGCCAGGGGGGGCCGGGGCCCCCTCTGAAATTTAGCTGGCCCCCCCTGAAAACTCTCCCTCATTTCGATAACAATGCAATGCAACATGCGTAACCTCTGCTCTCTGGTTAATTTGTTTGATATCCCTGATAACACAGGATTTTCCTGGGATATCCTGCCAATGTACTATGAAAGTATGAATGTCCCGTACCTTGATAATACCCAGATTGTTTCAGATAGAATATAACTGGAATATTTAGATGTAATATTCAAGGAACATCCCTCAAATATTCCTGTTTCTTTGTTTTGTGATTTCTTATTTATAATTCTCAGCTTAGCAGCATATAAAGAGAAAAAACTTTTAAAAAAATCCCATTGCCAGATTCAGACCAACAAGACCAACGACCCAACTGCGCTTCGTCAGTTCGTCTCGTCTATCAACCAGCAGTGTTGATTATGACGATACCCATTTTCGACGTTGTCAGATTTCTTTGGATGATTTTATTCCATATAAATATGATGAAATATACCTAGTAGTTTCATAAGTTTTCGAATTTTATATGTAATGTTTGTATATAAAAATACAATTAATAGGTTGTATATTTTTTTATATTGGCGATATTTTACTCGTTACACAAAAATAATATACGTGACAACTGGCAACGTCGAACAAAAGCCGCACGTCACAAGCCACGGCACCTCACTTCATATTCATCACAGACAACCTAACCTCACTCCGAAAAAACAAGTCAGCAAATTTTATTGTTTGTTATTAATTTAGTTTTGTTTTAATTACAAAATAATCGTTTTATCGGTGGTCGGTTTTGAACAATAAAACGTTCGGTGCTTGGTTTGCTCGTGTTTTTATATGGTTTTTCGTAGATTTTTCCACGAATTTCCCACATAATTTTTCACTGGCTCTTCCAATTTTCGAGGTTTCGTTACCTTTTGCATTTTTGTGTTAGGTAAGTACTACATGTAGCCTGTTCAGTAATTTATTTAAGAGGTTTTTAGAGTGCTTACAGTGCTGAAGATGGATCCTACAGGAAAAAAGTATTGTTGAGCAACTAATTATTGTCAAAGGAACAAACAATCAAGTCATTCAGAACCTGATCTACAAGATGAGCATCAGAACCCGAGGCAGCATCCTTTCTCTAGTTCTACGCTCGTTTCTATGACTGAGAGGACATTTTACTTGGCTACTTAAGATTCTATGAAGATTTTAATCAGATACCTTCTACCGTTCTACCTGAACAAAGTATCAGCACGCATTATTACTCTTCAGAAAATGGAACTTTCTAGGAAACTGTTGATGCAAGTGTTGGATGTCAATTTACAATTTATAATTTGAATAATATCTATAATTAATAAACCTAAACAAAAGTGTGTCCCACTAGTTTATTTGTGGGATGTTCTGTGCATGTTCCTCCTATATCCCACAAAAATCCCGAATATACTATGTGGGATGATTGAAGATATTCCAGGAATGATTCAATAGAACATTCCTAGAACATCCATTTTGATGACAAAAGCGTCTCCTGGAATGTTCCAGGAATGTTTCAGGATCTAAACAGAATCTTCCAGGAATATTCTGATTGTCCCAACTAAATATTCTTTGAACATTCCTGGGATGTCTTTGTGTTATTAGGGATTTGGTGGGCGCCAGGCAACCGCGACTATGCTTTCGCTTTTCTGGGATTCCCCCAAACATATTTGTATCGGCAGGTACAGGGTTTTCCTTTGTATTTTTGGCACCTCACCTGAAGGCCGGTTTCTCAATAGCAAGCAAGTCACCCCCGGGTCAGAGCAGTTAACCCTAACTCCAGGGTAAACATTGCAATTGGACACGATTACCCTGGACTAGCTATCGAGAAACCGACCCTGAACGGTTAATTGAATAGGTATCAAGAAGATTTATCTATACAGGGTGTCCGTTTTCGAGAGCAATCATTGGAATATAGGAAACGGTAAGATATACAGGTTCGGTGAAATTGGGACAAAGTGTCGCAATTTCTTGCTTAACAAAACGCTACTTCGAAATTTGGAAAATTCCGAATACTTCCGGAGATACATGGAAATCAAAATTTTGTAATAGTATTTTACATTATTAGCCAGGTAAAACAGTTTTTACTGGCGATTGAAGGAAATGACTAGCGAGCCGCCAGGCGAGCTTGTCACCTTCAAGAGCCAGTAAAAACTGCTACCTGGCGTATAATGTACAATAATTTATTTGTTACTCATTTGTAAAAGATATAGGGACAAATAAAAAATCAATACATAACAAAAATTTGAAATTTATATGTTTTTCCTTGATTTTTTCTCACAGAAGTTTTGGTAGTTGGTATAACTATGAGAATGATATGTTGTTAAGACGTTGTTTCTAGTTATAAATAGGTTTTTTTGACAGATTTCCATTTTGCAGTTTTTTTCCAGAAATGAATTTATTACAAGATATTATTAATGAAGCTGCAGTCGTAGCCAACAGTTTATCACCAGAAAAGTCTCCCAGAAGGTACCTACCGCCACACATTTGTGGCGTCATTGTTCCGCGAGTCCGTTGTGTTCAACCCTGGATGGCTCAACTATTGTGTACAACCCTGGCGGCCTGACGTGACGTGACAGAAGACAGCTGTCCCAGGTTGTTGTTTACTTCTAGTCAGCTTGTTGCCGCGCAATTATGATATCGTGTTGTTGTTGTTAACAAAATAAAGTATTTCGATTTATTTGTATGTTCAGTGCCCAGAATTAAACCGAGTTATTAGTAAAACAGTGTTTTCATTCGCTGGTGATATATCAAGCAAACACATAGCAGTAGTAGCTATAACTGGTGACCCCGACGTGATATATCTCCGCGTACCACTCGGCCTCTAACCTAAAAGACGTGTCTGATGACTACTAAAAAAATCAAGATGCAAAGCAATTTCGACTCCTCAGTAGATCCTGATCAGCAATTGGCTGCAAACAGCTCTTTTACCAACCAGCAACCAGACAGGAGTTCGTCAGTGAGTATTCCTATGCCTCAACCTTCTGGCCCTCACGGCAGTACAGCATTTGATCCCGCGGTGCATTTTAATCCAACAAATCACCCGGTGAGCTATCAGCAAGCATATGCCCAACCAGTAGTAAATTCGTTGCCATCAGCCCCCATGATGCTCAACCAGCAGCAGAGTTATGCCATTGACGCAGTTTACAACTGCAATCTGCCACCCTTTTGGCGTTCTCATCCAGACCTATGGTTCCTGCAGATTGAATCAGTCTTTCAAGCCCACCGTATACAGTCCGATAGCACCAAGTACTATCAATTGGTAAAATCACTGGACCCGGACACAATCACGGAAGTTGCAGACATCTTGAAGGCTCCACCACCTCAAGATAAGTACCAAAATCTCAAGTCTAACCTAATAAGTAGACTAACAGCCTCCGAAGACTCTCAGATGCACAAACTGCTCACTGATCTAGAACTAGGTGACCGAAAACCCTCACAGTTGCTTCGTGA